CTGCCTTTCCTCTCCCTCCCCTCCCCGCGCCGGCCGCCAGCGCGTTTCAGGCAGCGGTCCGGGCACTCACCGCCGATGCTGAGCATGGAGGGCTTGGTGGGCACCAGAGCCCTGGGCGAGGAGTCCCTCCAGATGTGGGACCTCAACAAGCGCCTGGAGGCTTACCTGGCCCGCGTGAAGTTCCTGGAAGAGGAGAACGAGGTGCTGAGAGCCGAGATCCAGAGTGCCAAGGGCAGCCCAGGAGAGGACTCGTGGAGGACCAAGTACGAAGAGGAGCTACGAGCCCTGCGGGCCACGCTGGACGATGCCTTCAGGGAGAAGTGCTCGGCGGAGCTGGCCCGGGACAACCTCTACGAGGAGATCCAGCACGTGAAAAGCAGGTGCCAGAAGGAGCAAGCAGCTCGGGAGGAAGCCAAGAAGCAGCTGTCCATGAGCAAGAAGGAGCTGGAAGAGGAGAGGAGAGCTCAGATCTGGCTGAAGGAGAGAGCCCTGCAGCTGGAGAAGGAGGTGGAAGCCCTGCTGGAGGTGCACGAGGAGGAGAAAGCAGGGCTGGACCACGAGATCGCCAGCTTCTCGCAGAGCTTGGAGAGCTTCCGCTGCGTGCCGGTGGCTTTCCAGCCCGTGGAGGTGGAGGACTACTCCAAGAGACTCTCGGAGATCTGGAAGGGGGCCGTGGAGACCTACAAGACAGAGGTGTCCCAGCTGGAGAGCTCCCTCTGCCAAGCCAAGGAGAACCTCTGGAAAGCAGTGGAAGACAACCAGCAGAGCCAGCTGCAGCTGCGGCACCTGGAGAAGGACCTGGCGGGGCTCAAAGCGCGGAAGGACATGCTGGAGGAAAGCCTGTCGCGCCAGTGGCAGGAGCAGAGAGGGGAGGCCGAGAAGTTCCAGGTGGGTGAAGGCAGGAGGGGAGAGCTGCCGCGTCGGCACCCCGTCTCGGGGAAGGCAGCGCAGCCCGAGGGGGGAAGGCACCCGCCGCCGGGGTAGGTGGAAGCAAAGCCAAGGAGGGAGCAAATCCCAGGAGGAAGAGCCCTGGGGAGGACCGGATGGCCCGGCAGCAGCTCGGGATAAGTTGCAGCTGGGAGACGAGGCAGAGGGCGGGAGGAGGAGCAGCTCGGTGACATCCTTGGCCCTGGGACAAGAGGGACCCGAGGCGGCACCGCTGCAGGGGGTCCCCTCTGAGCCAGCGGGTCCTCCCCTGCGCCCCGACC